AAGTTATCTCAATTGATTATGTGAGATCAAATAAAAATCTGACGGATTTGTTAACTAGCCCCTGAGGATGATTTTAATTATTAAAATATCGAGGGGAATGAGACTTAAGCCTATTTGAAATTAATAGTGATGGCAATCCAACCTTTGTGATTGGAGATCCTATGAAGAAGGTTCAATGGGTAAGAACAAGTCAGTTGTTAGTCACCAAATTTTTTGTCCCTTCCTATAGCTTGAGAAAGTGCTAAAATGCATTAATCAGAGGTTGAGTGAAAACTCTTAATGTTTTTCATAGTCCTTATGGATGGTGTATTCATTGCAGATACACTTAATGAAAACACCAATAAGAATGTGGAGTGGGGCTACTCCTATGAGATCATGGTGAAATCTTTAGAGCATTTGTTAAAATCAGGCACGCGCATGGCCTATAATATGCAAAATTGTCATTAACAACAAAAATTGTACGTGAGGGTATAATTTGACTAATAAGATCTCTAGCACACGACCAAGATCTGTTGGTTCAATAACAAAGTTACACCGACTTTTTTGTGTGTTAAGTTTTATTGGTCTAGGTTTAGTTCAAGTTGAAAGACACAAAATTCGAAGTGATTATCTTCTGTGAGAATAACTCAAATGATAGTGGTCCTTTTGACACATGTGGAGGATTTTTACAATTGTGTCAAAAAGAAAAGTCCTATGTTGCTCAAATGAATGAAGGCCTTAATTTATAGATACTAAGATGTGAACTTGGGCTAATAAATGGGCTTAGAGGAGAAATAAGCTCTTACATACAATTGCACACAAGTTAGTCGTAATTTTGAGCAATTTTTCAAAATTTTGGAAACTATTTCTTGGAGATACAAAATTATTTGTATAAGATAGTTTTACAAAAATATTCCTTCCTTTTAAAATATGTGGGGGATTGTTAGATATTATAAATATTTTTGAGTATTTCAAAAAGAATTATTATAAATTAATAATATTAATTATTATTTAAGACTATTTATTATTTTATAACATATAATTTAAATAATATTATTTGAAACCATTTTTAACTGTGATTAAGGTGGTTTTGTTGTCCATTATTATGAGATTTGCCTATAAAAAATAATGTGCTTGCCACAGGTTTAATGAGAGCCTCGATACTGTTGGCCTTTCTCTCCTCTTCTATCATACTAGTTCATTATGTAGTTACGTGAGTATATTCAATGAATTTCTGTTATTTTATGTCCCTTTTTTTTAGTAAAAAGAGTTTGTTTAATTTTGGGAAGTTGCCACGCGATCAACCCGATGTGGCGGAATAGCTCTTAAGAACAATATTCTTGAATACAGCTCAGGTTATGATTTCACCAGCTATTGCTAACAACTCCGAGTGTCATCCATCTTGAGTTTTCAAGTAGATTTGTCACTCCAACAACGAAATCCGCAACCCACAAACTCTTGTAGCTTTTAGAGTAGTTCTTTATTGGATTATTTCTACATTGATTCACCCATCAACGAACACACAAGTTTATTCATTCAAAACCGTCGGAAGAATCTGATCTTCCCTCACGTATTCTCAAAGAACTATCATCAATCATCAATTGGCGAGGACATTTATTACTGTAACTGTTTTTTCTCAAAAATTTCCTTCTCTATTTTATCTGCAAGTCAATTTCGTTATGATTATTTTCAGTCTTTTCCTTCACCATGTAATCTTGAAATTTGATTAATGCAATTTTCCTTTTAATCAAAAAGTTAATTTTTTATCTCTAATTAATTAAAGATTAAAGAGAGTAAGGAAGGTAACGAATTGAAAGACTTCGTGACTACTTTCCAGCTTCATGGCCATTGACTAAGGAAGTCGAACTTTTCCCCACATTTTACAGGGAACTTCCTTTTCAACTATCTGACAATAATTATTATTACTTTTGCAATCTTAAGTGCTGACAAGGATTCATTATTGTTAGATTGTTCGACGCATGAGGAAATAAAGGATACATTATCGATTGTTAATTGGGAGAATAACATATTAATCCCTCTTAAATAGAAAAATAATAATTTGATTACACAAAATATGCTAATGACAGTCAGATCCCAATTGACTTTTTTGAAATTAAATTTCTATGTGCAATTACTTTAGTACCCTCTACAACTAATTTTACATGGTTTACATATTTGATATAAGTATTCACAAGTTTGGCTCCATCAATAACTAAAACGATTTATGAAATTACAACTTTTTATTAGTAATTTTCTTCAATCAACAAAGTCCAACTAATTTTATGTGGCTTATAAATTTAGTACAAGTATTTGCATGTTTGGTTTCACTAATAATTAAAATGATTTAGAAAATTACAACTTTCTATCAACAAATTCCAATTAATTTTTTATAGTATATAATTTTGATATAAATATTTGCAAGTTTGATTTCACTAATGACTAAAACGATTTGAAAAATTACAATTTTCTAAAATGTAAAAAGGTACTCAAGTAATTTTACACATAAATTTAATTTCAAAGAAGTCCTTTAAAATTTTACTGTTATTATCAAATTTTATAGGGTCAAATTATCATTTATCTATTTTAGAAGAATTTATCTATCACTCTTCCTTGTTAATTTCAATTGAAAAAAAAAAAGATTTTACATTTGTGAATTAAATGCAAACTGCGTGACCAAAGTTGGTGATATGAAGTCGAGAGTTTGACATCAATAATTAATGATTAAAATTATAATTAAATTGTGATCAAATTAATTAAAATATTAATTTAATAGTTTATTGATTCAATTAAACATATTGACCTGATTTCCATGTCATGCTTTTTTGCCTTCATCAAAGAACTTTATAATTTTTTACGCTATCACCCATCATTTTCAAAACATTTGCATGGATGTGGGAGTTGTATTATTCCAAATTTCTTTAGGCATGATAAAAAGCAAGTGGTTAATGTGGAAATTAATATGAATAAGGGATGATATAACATAAGAGAATTTCAACTAAGGATCATAAAAGAGAGATGTTTACCAGTTGGTCCTAAAAAAATCTAAAATTTCAGTGTAGGATTTCTGGAATAAATTGAAATAAAATTGATAGCGGAAAAGACTGAAATGCCTTTTTATAAAATTAACAAATACTTGATTACTACCTAACTTTACTTGTTAATTGCTTACTTACACTTGTTAATTACTTAACATTACTTATTACATAATTAATTAGTTAATTTTGTGATTCCATAATCTTAAGAATATTACTTATTAATTTTATAATTTTACTTGTTAATTTGTCAATATGACTTGTTAACCACTTAACTTGACTTGTGAATCATTTACAAGACTTGTTCACTCAATTTGATTGAAAAGCACCGGTATTAATTGTTAATTTTCTTACTTCAGTTGTTAATTTACCAATATCAATTATAAATTACTCGACTTCGCCTTTCAATAGTCATGCTAATATCAATTGTTAATTATCCAACTTTTATTTTTTCAATTTATCAATATTAATTATAAATCACATGACTTATCAATAATCATATTAATTTAATTGCTTTGTCCCACATGTAGAATCATTTGTTGCTAATTCTCTAACTTTACATGTTAATTTACCAACATCAATTATTATTTATTTTTTCTTTCTTTTTCAAAAAGACATTTTAGTCTTTTCAGTCACCCATTTTAATTCAATTTAGTCCAAAAATCTTATAGTAAAATTTTAAATTTTTTTGGACCAATTAATAAATATGTCTCTTTTATGATCCTTAATTAAAATTCTCCCAAATAACATTTGGGTGGACAAAAAAGTCTTGCTGCAACTAGAACTATAAAAAAAATATGATTTTTTGACAGTAATTTTTACGTGCGGTGAAAAAAATCAGACTAAAAATTTAATTTTAATAATGATAATCAAAAGTCATCACAAAAATTGGACTCAATGTCACCACCAAAACAGGATTTTTGATGATAACTTTTAATTATCATTATTAAAAGTAGATTTATGGCAATAATTTTTAACATTTATCACCAAAAATTAATTTTTTATCATCGTCAAAAATATTTTATAAAAATAATTTAAAAAATAAAATAATTCATACAATTTCTTTTGATTGTATTATTTGTCACTACTAAAAAATATTTTTAAAAAATTAAATATAACTCCAAATTATATGAAGTAATTTAGAAAAGTATCATTTAAATTATTAACAAAATTTTCTGATGAATTATTTTAAAAAAATTAAAATTAAATAAAACCATTCAAAAGATATTTAAAAAATTAAATTTTTAATTTCTTTTTTTATATATAGAATAAAAAATAAATGATAGGATTAAAAGAGATAAGTGTCATGAAAATTTTTTTACGAGAGACGCTTTGTATTTTAAATATTTTTTTGAAACAATATCACCTTAACTTTTTTTTAAAAAAATATAATATTACTCAATCACCAAAGTTAATCATTAGTTTATTTTAATTTTCAAGTGATTGTCACTTGATATTTTTAAAAAAATTAAAACAAAAAAAAAATCCACATATCATCCCCTTCCCATCTTCCCTTCAGATTCGCTATCATCAAAAGAGTGTAAGAGAGCTTCGGGGACTTCTTCTTCCTTGTCATTACTGCCCCAAGCAAGTTTTTTCTCCTTTTTCTCCCATCTCTTTACTTCTTTCCTCGCCTTTTCCTTCCTCCATTAACAAACGGCCCTACCTCGACAGGAATCTCTGCTATGTCTTACCTTTTCCGGCCTTCAATGCGGAGATCGATTCATTATTCTTAGACGAGAGACGTACGTTAACGTTATCGATTGCTTATTTCTGATTTAAAAAAAAAACAGAAAAGAAAAAAAAAATCGAAGACTTTGATCCCGCGTATTGACTTTACTCTTTGGGGTGCGGGGGTTTCCAGTGAATTTCCTATGTAAACATCACTTGATAATTATATATGAAACCCTACTATGTATATAACTATCAGATACCCACTAAATCTCATCATCACTTTTGAGTTTCTCTAGAACAGTTTGAGGATTCAATATGACCCAGAATCAATCTAAATTGTATGTGAATTCTCAACTTTCTATTAATATTCCTTTTACCTTAGGGATAAACTCTTCTGCTTCTTACTATATTTCTTTATCTGAAATGCTTGTTCTTTCGATTGCAGATTTAGCTGTGGATTAGAGTTGGCATCTTTCGTGGCCAGCTCTGACCTTCTCACTTCTTCATGTAAGCTTATCTCAGATCTGGATGCAGAATCACATTCAGACCAGAATCTGTTTTGCGAAAAAGTTAGCGAAGAATCATGTTTGACAATTATAATTATAGCGTTTGGGACAACCCAAAATCATGTTCAATCTGCTTTGCTTCCTTTTTCGATCGACATGAATGACAATCCCTTCAAATTTATCTGTTCCAAAGCCAACCCCAACTTCTCCCTTAATCAATCTAAATTTACCCTGTTCAATGAATACCGAACTGAGCTTGGTCAACTAAAATCCAAGGTACGTACTTCTTCTTTGTCTTTTTTTATAACCCGCGGATCCAAGAGAAGTTATTATGAGTTTTTTTTTTTTTTTTGAGCAATTTGACGTCTTTTTGTATAAGCATATTGATTTGCTTGTTAGACGATTGAACTAGAGCAAAATCGTTGTTCTGATTTGTTTTCTAGTTCATCTTGTATTTCTGTTTTAAGTTTGTGTTTGTCTATGGGCCCAGGGAATTTTTAATTCCTTGGTCCTTTTATTTACTTTTAATAAGGGTGACTTCTGTTTAAAAAAATTGAAACCAAGTGAGATCCATATAGCTAGCTGTGGGCTGAACGGCGGACACAAGGAAACCAGGTGAGCCACTCTCTAATTTTCCTTTTATTTTTTTTTTCCTTTGTAAAATGAGTTATACGTTTTTACCCTTAAAATATATTTGTCCATATTTATTACTGATAAAATTTAATTTTACCTGACAACAAAAGTTAGTGTGATTGGTACAGCTGAATGGTTTCATCACTTAAATAAATAGTTAAAAGTTTGAATTTCAATCTTTATATATGTAGCAATTTAGTTAGGAAATATCTACCATTGCTCTTCCATATATTGGGGGAAAAAAATCTCTCTTATTGGGCAACTCTACTCCTTATGCTATCAAAGGAAAAAACAAATTAATTAATTACTAAATATACAATGATATTTGGAAAAAGAATTTTTTTTCTTTCCAATAAAATATACACTAGACATAAGATTTACTGTGGTAAGTAAGCAATAAAGCTTTTTAAATTGAAAACATTTTTAGATTCTAAGAATGCATTTAAATCATTCACTATTCAGAATATTTGCAATCCTGTTAGGGAATTTTACTTTTCAAATTTTTCTAACTAAGAAAAAAATTTGATTGTAACATAAATTATAGTATCATGAGCTTGGTATGTCCAAATATCCTTATTTTTAGAACTTGACTAATATAAATGAACTATGTCAAATTTTGTAGAGGTTGAAAAATCTAATTCTTATTTATTGATGATTTTTATTTCATGAAAAATCAATGAACAAGATTTTAAAAATGAAAGTACATATTTATTTTTGTTATATAATTTTTTTATAAAATTCAATATGAATTTGTTGAAGTATTTATGTATTATTAATTACATATACGTATATTGTTTGTAATCGGCCCGCCTTACTTAAACATTCTGGCCCATCCCTCAGTATCTATGATTATATACGTATGTATTATTAAATATGATTTTTCTATATTGTTTGTATTATTAATGCAGATCAATCTCGAAAAATCACTGATTGTTACTGGACATGCTGTTGGGGGATCTATTGCTTCTCTTTTCACTTTATTGCTGTTAGAAAAGATGGATCCGGAAAAGAAACATAAACGTCCACTCTGCATTACCACTTCTTGGAGACCAAAAGCTTCAACAATATTCATCTCAAAGTTCTTATTTGAACTCTTGCTTACTAAATGTGATCGCTCTCAAGGAACCATGTCTTGCCTCTCCAATTTCTGATGAGTACAGATCTTTTGGATTATTCCTCTTCTGTTCTGATCATGGCTCTGCTTGTTTTGAGAACCACGATTATATTCTGAAGATTCAAAAGGGCACGAGTCAGCTGAATCCAAGATTGCAAATTCATGATTATAGAAATGTTGTGGAGAATCTCAAGCACAAGTCAATCAAAGACTTTGGTGTTCCCAACAGTATCACTAATTCTAATCAACTCAAGGCATGCCTCAGTTTGCAGTTATGTGCTCTGGGATTTCCACAATTGCAGTAGGTACCTCAAATTCATATTTGTTCAATCTAAAATGAATACAATCACTGTGTTAAAAACTGAAAATGAATGAGGATTGGATGATATAACCTGGTTTTTGAAATTGATGTGTTAGGAAATTATCCTGGGGAATTTGGTAGAACTGAAGGAAGTGCAAAAGACTCTGGGTTAGAGGAAACGGTTTGTCCCAAACAAGAAGTTGGATGACATGAAAATAATTATGGCCCATTTGGAGTGGTACAAGAAGGTTTCGAAGAAGAAGGAAATAGGGTATTACGACTGTTCTAAGATGCAGTATGTTGAGCCTGACCAGGATGTTATCAAGTACAGGAAGCAACTCAACCTATATTGGGAACAGATGGTGGAAGAGGTAGAGAAGCAGCCCCAGAAAGAAGGTGCAGCTTTTCGTACCCGATGGCTCTATGCTGGGACTAATTACAGGAGAACGGTGGAACCATTAGACATTGCTTGTTACTACAAGGAGGGAAAAAGAGATTACATAAAACAAGGAAGATCAGATCATTATAAACTGCTAGAGAAGTGGATGGAAAATGACAAGAAGAAACCTGGAAGTAACGAGCTGGAAAATAGGCAGAACGTACAATCTGTATTGACGTTGGATTCTTGCTTTTGGGCACAAGTCGAAGAGGCTCTCATTTCGTCTCAAAAACTTAAGGCTGTAGCGTCCAATGCAACAGAGAAGCAAGAGGCGGTGAATAGCTTGGATAAGTTTGAGAAGTATGTTTATGGGTTGCTAAAGAAGTATGCAGTTTCACCAGAGATTTTCTTGGAGAAAAGTAGCTTTGGTGGAAGGAGTACTATACAATCAAGGGAGGAGCTTCCCATGACTCTGAACTTGCCAGCTTCGTGAAGAACCGAGCCAATTACAAGAAGTATGAGGATGGTGCTTAAGATTTCCGCTACGAGACCAAGTTTTTTAAGTGGCAAATTGTATGCAGGAGGAGCAGGGCATCCAAATAAATTAGGATTTCAGTTTAGTTCGCTTTCAATTTATTTTCTATTTCTCAAAGTGGTTTTCTAAGCTTCAGCTTCTTTGTGTTGAATGAATGCTTGTAAATCATCGTGTCTTTTAACATAATTTTTGAAGGACAATTTCATTATAGCAATATTGATGGGACATATATATAAAATCAGGGTCAAATAATTCTAAAAGCTTGCTGCAAGACCAAGTGACTTAATTGAAAATATATTTTAAAATGAAACCACTATAATACTCTATGATTTTAACAAGTTGCATCGTTGAATTAATTAGTAAAGTTAGGATTTTAACATGTCACTATAATTGAATGTGTAGAGGGTATCATCAATAAGTTTTACTAGCGAATTAGTGAAATAACAAGCAACATTATTGATAATAATTAATAAAAGATATCGTGGTCGTTTGTTTTTAAAATATTTTTTCAACTTAATCCTTAACCCTGCAGTAAATATTCAGCATTCTTTAGTCCTACAAATAATAACTTCAAATAGCACATGCTTCTACATCAAAATTATATCAATTATCGCTTTCCTTGGAGGCCCACCAGGCGGAACAAACCTAGCAAAGCAAGCTTTTTCTTCCCAACAGCTTCATCGTGAAGTAAAGCACAGATTCGAAAGACTTTGAGGATCCGTGTGTATTGACTCAGAAATACAAATGAAACTATCAGCTGATTTTTTATATATGAAAATTAAACCCACTAACATATCTCACGTTCGCCGAATCTTCCATCCTTTCTTTCCTCCTTTGTCGTTTTCATCTACCTTTGTTTTACTCTGTCCCTGATTCATAGCTTCTAAGTTGGATCTTCTCTTGTCCCTTGTGAAGCCCAACTTGGAGTTTATTGGTTTTCTTAATTCTTTTCTTCTTCTGTTTGATAGTTTCTTTGTCTCTTTTCTATCACCATATCTGGGAAACATAGAATGGGTAGTGCTATGTTTCTCTCTCTTTTGTTAGTCTACTCATTGTTTATGTGTTCTAATAATACTTTGTGAACCCAGCCTTAATTTGTTTATGTGCTCTAATAATACTTTATGCAACTTTTGATACATTTCCTTTTGAAGACGATGCTTTACAACTTTTGCAGATGTACACATCTAATGCCCATCGGTCCTCACTTCATCAGTAACTTCTCTCCTTTCGTAGCCTCTGTTTCATACTTGTCTGTTCTCCGGGAGTTTTGTGTGATGGAGCCGTTTGATCGTTGCTCTGTGTGTGTGTGTGTGTGTGTGTTTTTGTTTTTTGTTTTTTTTTTCCAATACTCATTTCTCTTTGGCCGGTTTCAGTTTTTGGCCAATCAAGTGATTAGGACTCTTTTTAAATGTGTGTGTACTAATATTGGGATAGTAATGAATAAAATTGCATTTGGATAAAAAAAAACAAAGAAAGCCCTGGAACTGTCTAAAGATTCGAAATGACCTGGTACCAACCTAAACTATCGTAATTGTAAGTAAATTACCACTTTTTATTCCTTTTTCCTTGACTATAAGCACTTCTTCTAATGGAAAAATGTTCTTCTTATTATTACTATTTCCCAAGGTTTTTATATTGGAACTAGCTAGTCCTTCAACTAGATAAGTATTGGTTCAATGGTCAATGATTGCACTATGATTGAATCGGTTATAATTAATTTAATGTGTTTTTAATTTTATTGGTTAACCTTTGCATATGAATTGGAATTTTATAAAATATTACAAGGTTTGTGGACAAATAAAATTGAAAAGCAAAAGACTGAGAAGTTGTCTTTTTCTATATATAGTCTGACAAAGAAGCTCAACTCAATTAGATTATCAACATTATTCTAAACTTGTTTAATTTTTAAAAGCACGCATTTATTATGTATAAAAAATAACAAACGATGAGGTGAGGCTTATTAAAACTAAATTAAAATATAAAGTTTGAAAAAAAATTATAGATAAATAATTTAAAGAACAAAGATTAAATGTGTATGCTTATATTGAAAATTGAAAACATGATATAAGGTTTAAATAAAATAATTCACCCAAGTTAAAAGGAAATAAAGAAAATATAAGTCTCACATCGAAGTATGAAAATGAGCTAGTAGAATAGAATAGGTGTAACTAAGTGATTGTAGCAAATATGATAGCAGTGTAAATTCCTTAAATATTATTTTAGGGTTTGATTCTTAGAAGTGTGTATGAAAAAGTATTTTTTGAGAAATAAAAATCCCTTAAATGGCGGCTTAAATTTTTTAAAGGATTAATCTCATGATTGCTGCAAACTATGAGGATAGTTTCATAGCAAAATAAGGGAACCAGGCATTAATGTGTAGGGTTGGATTGCTTTATGTTGAAATTGCAAATGTTGGCCCCAGAGATTTTAATATTTAGTTAAAAAAGTGCTAATTTGTTCTTTCTTTAGTATGCATTATGTAACATCCTAAGTTTTTCAATTAGTAATTATCAGTGTTTTCAAAGGTAAATTGGTCAATTTAGATAAATTATTGATTAATGAGGTTTATGAGAGATTAATATAGTTTTTGAAATCTTGGACAACCTTAGAAGAAGGCTAGGTCTATGTTTGAGCGGGCCATGGCACGGAAGGGAATTTAATTTTTGGTGGGACTTTCTGTGCCATGTGCCATGACAAGAGTGTCAATGCGTCGTGCCGCACGTGCAAAATTTGCACTTATCAATTCGTGAAAACAAACCAGAAATAGAAGAGAGAAAGAAGGAAAATGAGAGAGTGATAGAGAGGAGCTCATGGTCTGTTAGGACACGATTCCTAGACCACGTTGGGAGCATTTGGAGCTAAAATCACCATTGGGTAAGTTTCACATTCCCTCTTCTCTATCTTTTATGCGAAAATCTGGACATTTGGGGCAATGAGGGCTTTGATTTCGGTTTCTTTGGGTTTAAATCAAACCCATTAGTTTATTTAAGGTCTTGGGGAGTTAAATCAAGCTTCTAACTCTAAGTTTATGAGTTTTATGATGATTGAAATTTTTTTTGAGGGTTTGGATGAACCCTAGGCATTATTTAGAGGTTTTGAGATAATATGGGATATTGGTTAGTGATTTTGGTGTATTGGGATGTTTAATAGGATGGTTAGAGTATTTAGAAATGGTTGATATTGTTAGAAAAGGAATTTGGGTATTATAGGTATTTAGAACCTAGTGAATTCGGAGTTATCCAGAGTGATAATTGATGATTGTCATTTGATTGTGTAGATTGAGTATGGCTCAAGCTATATCGTGCATATAGAACGTGTGGAGCTAACATTGAGCCATAGTAACCCTTTTGTGTGATAAAGGGTTGAGGTAACTATATAGTTTATTGTATTTATTAACTATTATAACTATGTAGAAGTAAATACAAAGTGATGAATTTTTTATTTAAGAATTTTGTGCATGATTTGATATTGAAAAATGATTTTTAGCATGAATATTGGTTTGTGAAATGAAATTCAAAAAGTCAATGATTTCAATGGATATGTACATATATATGTGTGCGTATATATATATATATATATGATATGATATGAAAGTAAATGTTGTGAAAATATGGATAAACAGTGATATATGTGAAAAAGCATGATCATAGGGGGTGGGAGTTCACATGAGATATGTAACATCCCGAGTTTTAATTCCTTGATTAATTAAACCTAATTAGGATAATTAAGTAAAATGAAGCGGTGTAGGGCTAGAGAGGTCTGATAATCATGTTTGATGCTATTTCAGCCCTAGTAATGGGTCTGGTATCGAGGTGGACCACCCAGGCATCGAAAAGAGAAGAGAAAGAAGAGTTGAAGTTGTTGTGCCATATGTCGCGACGCATAGATCGTCTGTCATGACGCACAGCCATCTCTGAATAAGGGAGGACCTCTTTGTGCCGTGCATTGTGGCATGTTATGCGTCCGACACGGCGTATGGCCATTTTTTGTACTTTTTCAAATGCAAAGTGAGACAGAAAAAGAAAGAAAAGAAAAGAGAGAAAGGAGAGGCACGCCAAAGCTCTGCTAAGGTTTACTCAGGGATCACTTT